TAAGAAAGGACTGAAATACCAAAGTCACACACGATCCCAGTGCCACACTGACGACATGTTGTTGACTGGATATTGTACCTACATGTGTGTGTGTGTGCGTGTGTGTGTATTCGCAAACATATACATAATATCATATATATTATATTAGATATAAATAAAGCACGGGCTGTCGTTGTTATGTAACATGCCCCTGGAAAATGGATGAAGCCCCTCCCTTGGAAAATTTAAAAGCTGGGTTGGAGAGCTCGCAACTGCACAAGTAATACAGTCGAGATTGTCCCAGACAGCCAGCCATTGTCGAGAAGAAGAGTGGTTGTCTTAGGTGGACATTTTGGACACTGTCATTATAATCTAATATTTTTTGAAATACTAGGGGGAGGGGGGTTGGCGGGTGCTCTGGTGTGGTTTACTTCTTCGTTCCTATCAAACGTCTATTGTCTTTATCTCCCCTCCTTCTTTTTTGTGTTTGTTACTCTCTTGTAACTTCTCTAATCTTTGGCACTTATATGACCTTTTTGTGTTGCAAGTGCCGTAAAATACTATTTTAAAAAAAATTTGATGGGGGGGATGGGAAGTGGGATTTCTATTTCTTGTACAGGTGAATGTTAGTGTCAGAGCAGGCTCACTTAGGAAGAGATTAATTTTTTTGGTGTCCATTTTTCAGAAAGTTTTAGATATCTAACCTACAGCACTGTTTCTTTAGTGTCCATGTTTCAGTAACTCCTCACTAGTGACTGAAGTGCCACATTAAAAAAGTTTCCTGCTCACGGGATATATTTCACTATGTGCACTGAAATCTCACAGCCTGGGAACCAGCATGTGTATTCTACTTAATTCAAAGTACAGGCTCAGAAATAGATTTTGGTCGTGCTTGCTCGTACTTTTTACACCGAGGTTTTATCACGTGGTGGTAGTGGGCTACAGGGCTACAGGGCTGTCCCCGTGGTTTTATGAGAAAAAAATAATTCTGAAATTATGCAAACTGAGCCCAAAAATGTGAAATTATACGATTCTGTTAATTTTAACAAAGAATGATGGAGGAAAATAATATGAAATTATGCAAAAAATGATCAAATTTTGCTAAATTATGCGGGGTGCATAAAACTACGGGGGCAGCTACAAGGCCAGGTGGGACTTGTCACTGGTACCACAGTAAAGTTGACTGACCCCTTTCATCTTTGTTTGACTCTTTACTTTTTCATAATCATGGATCTCAACTCAGAACGTTAAAAAAAGGAGAGTGGGTGCTTGGTGTGGTTGCTTCTTCTTTCCTATCAAACATCTATCGTCCTTGTCTCTCCTTTTTTGTGCATTATTATGTTACTCTCTTGTGACACATCTATCCTTCTGCACTTATGTGACCTCATTGTGTTGCAAGTGCTGTAAAACTTATAAAATCAAATAAGAACCTTCCGCGAGATCGAGACAGAAGACCATGAGCGCGAGACGCCCATTATTATTATACTGTTTAACCCTTGAATGCTGAAACAAAAACCATCAATTTATCAAAGCAAGGTTATTTCATACCATTTGAGGGTTTGGAAGATAATTTCAAGTAAAAGAGTCACTTACCAAATATTCACAATCTTGATTATGTACAGAAAGTGGTGGTACATTAGCGGTAGAGGAGTTTAGCGGAGGAAATGGCAGTAGCGGAAATTCGCTAAATTGCAGAATATTGAGACCCTTGATAATGTACACTCTTGTATTTGAGTCGATTTTGTTCTATTGCTTAATTAATTGTGGCATGGGCCCTGTGTGTAGTGTGGGCCCTGTGTGTAAGGTAGTGTGGGCCCTGTGTGTAGTGTGAAGAGAAAAGTATCGACGCAGTAACGTTTAGGTGCAGGGAAAGATCATGACAGGCAGACAGGAAAAACTGTTTAGCTCTTAGTTTTAGTAAGATTTTTACGGCATTTGCAACATAAACAGGTCATATAACTGCCAAAGATTAGAAGTGCTACTAATGTACAAAGTAACATACAAAGAAAAGGAGGAGAGATAAAAATGATAGATCTAGATGTTTGGTAGGGAAAAGGGAGCAAGCCACACCAGAACACCTGCCAAACATCCGCTTGAATGAACTTCTGAGGATAGTCACAGTAAAAGGGGAACCGGTCAAATTGTCAGACTTGTGATAGATCGTTGGTCTCGCAACTTAAAAGTCGTGGGTTCGACGCTGTGTCCATGGGAAAGGCACCCTACACTTTACGCGCATTATTCACAACACCCATTCAGAATGGGTACCCGGCTATGCATGGCGAAAGATAATACATGTATCAATTTGTTAGTGTTTGAGAACTTAATTGTCAGCTTGCACTGTAAGCTTCCCAGGAAGCTGAGAATGTGTGTGTGAGTGTTCTAGATTACAGTCTGCGGAGTAATAAAATAGTAGATAGTAGAACACAGAGCTTGCTGCTACATATGGGCTACATGTATATATATAAAGGCTAAATAAATTCATTATTTACTTTTATCCAAAGGTCTTCGCTCGGTTCAGCACAGCAGGCCTACTAGACAGTAAAGTGTCAGATATAGGTTGAACATTGTGTCCACGGGGACGTTGACAGACCTGGTCTTTCTTCTGGTTACAAAATGAATACATTGTACAACTACAAAATAATCTTCCTGGAGCTTGCACCTTGTCTTGGGAGAAGTTCAACTTTTGTCCATTGTGCTGTACACAAAAACTTGGGACAAGCTTTAGCTTCACATGACCTTCTAGACCCTTCTGGAACTGTCTTCCTTTTTTCCATAGAGGACACTTACCCAGATCAGTACATTTTAAAAAACAAAAATATTATGAACAAAAACAAACAAAATAAAAACAGCACACCAAGTTTGTAGCTGACAATGATTTTATTTATTTATTCAAAACCACAATCACTTATTTTATACAACTTATTTTAAATATTTATTATTAGTATGTAATAATCAATACAGCATGTCTTACCAGGTTATGTATTGAGCTCACGAAGACTATATAATACAAGCTTAGTTAAGCAGACCCACACACATTTGATATAAAATATGTATGTTTATGTACATGTCCGAGAATACGAGTTTTTTCATACAAGCCTATACTATACTGATCAAAAAGGAAAAGTTATAACTTCCTGCGTCTTACTAATAAATTAGCAACAAGATAAATCTCAAGTACTTTATGAACAAAAGCTTTTCACACGAGCCCCGCCATAGCTGACTTTTCTCTAACATAACGCTATTCTAGTGCCAGGTGGCTCTGTGTTTCCTCCAAAGTTTAGTTCACAGCACTGAGTCACTGGGTGTGAATGACCATCTATTCTACGTACAAGTAAATCTACACTATCATTCAGTTTTGTTAGTTTATTTTTCTACTAATGTACATGAACCAAGATTTTGCATAATTCAAAAAAATTTTCTGTGTTTGACAAGCCGTGTAGATCAGAGTAATGAAAAAAAAAAAAGAAGCAAAAAGACTTGATGATTTGTCTTGAACTTAGTGTGCAGTCGAACCTGCTCTTAGTCTTATCATCACCTGTCCAAGACAATCACCTGTCCAAGACAATCATTTGTCCAAGACAATCACCAGCACAAACCACCACTTCCCATCCTTACAGGGTTTTTTTTTGTCTTCCTCATCATGACACAGTCTGAGAGAACCACCTGTCTAAGACAAAGACAAAGACGACCACTTTTCTCCTTGACAACGAGGGGGTGTCTTGGACAGGTTCGACTGCACTATGTCAGAACATTTGGTTGCTTTTCAGCACATGGGGGGCTATCCCGAAAAGATGCTGTTCTGAGAAAATACAAGGTAAAGTTTTTGCCCCTTGTTCAGACTAGGAGAGTTTTCTCTATAACCAAACAAATCTATACACTACCAATGAAATCAAACTTCTCCTATAAGGTAGGGCAATGCCCACTTATGATGTAGGTCTAGATTTCTGGAAATGTCCGAAATCTGAGTTAGCCTGCTTGTCCTTAAAAGCGACCATATATCTCATTATATCCCACTTTATTAAATAATAAGTTACCACACCATAAAGTGAAAGAACCTAACAAACAAAACAAAAAAACCCTGCATATTCCACTTCAATGGGTTTTGTAGTCGGAAAGAGAAATTTCAGCCAAGGCTATCAAATATATATATATATATCAAACAAACACTGTACTCAGCATTTCCTATACCTTGGAGAAAATCTCACAGACCCGATTGGACACATGCTCCTGTGAGCTGACGAGTTGGCCCAAAATCTCCCCCATCTTCCATCATTAATGATGACAGAACATTGGCCCACACCGTTAATGATGAGAGGATTTTCACCCCAAAGGTTTGTGTCAATAATACTTGGTGGTGGAGGTAGAAAACACGGGTCACGATGGACGATAATTATATAAGATGTACCAGCACATCGGCCTTGCTCCTGTCTCTTCCCAGTGACTTGACAGTTGTTTTATATATATATAATTATTTAAGATGTACCAGCACATCGGCCTTGCTCCTGTCTCTTCCCAGTGACTTGACAGTTGTTCTATATATATATAATTATTTAAGATGTACCAGCACATCGGCCTTGCTCCTGTCTCTTCCCAGTGACTTGACAGTTGTTCTATATATATATAATTATTTAAGATGTACCAGCACATCGGCCTTGCTCCTGTCTCTTCCCAGTGACTTGACAGTTGTCCTACTACTACTACTACTACTAGACAGAACGTATCTGACTTATCAACTTTTGTGTGAGAATCTGTCACTTCAGTGGTTTCTGCCCTCGACTCTTCACTTACAACAAAGATGACGCACTTAATCTGTAGTGATTGTCTGTAGAAATTCAAGTTTTACCAGTAAAATATTTGATTCATTTTGGAATTCTTAGAAAGTGAACATCAGTACCCTGAATATATACAAACCTGTCCACATTGGTTACTCAAAAATCACACAGAAAAACGATCATTACAGACAGTTGGCCATTATGGAGAGAGTGGGAGCTGTGGTCACTAGAACTGACAATGTCAACTGATGGTTTGAAATCTGAAATCTTTATTTTATCATTCCATTTCATTTCTGCCACCAAAGTTGTTATCTTTCGTAAGAGTAAGAGGTTTGCATTGATTGAATCGGAGGACAGGTTGACAGAAAGCTTTTGTTGTAAGTGACCGCCATAAGCAGATTCACATTTTTCAGGCCAACTTGTCGGGAAATTGACGGATTCTGGTCACGTTGGACAGGGACCGTTATGGACAGGTAAAAAAAATAAAGGAAAAAATGCAAGGGTGTCACAGAACATTGGCAGTTAGAACACATGGCCACCGTAGAGAGGTAAGCGCTAAGTAATGCAGGCTCGATTGAATATTCAAAATGAAGGTGAAAATTATCTTTCGGTGTTATAAATATACTTTCTATTCAGAGGCTTTCTTCTAAACACACAAGGCAGAAAAAAAGTCATTTTTGTTATTCAACAATGCAAGAAAATAGTACTCAATGTTGCTTTTCTCACTGAGTGCCAAGCTTAAAAAAAAAATCAAGTAGAACCGACAGTCTAGCACTTCAAGTACAAGTACCATAACTCCCCCCCAATACCGTCTCTCACATAGCCGGACTGACCGACAGCCGTTCAGGTTTGTACAGGATAAGTTAGAAAGCTTTACACAAACAGCAAAACTTGCAAATGAGATTCATGAGATAAGGAAGTGGTTCAAACATAAGATTGTTTTCCCCCAAGAAATATATTTACAAAACTGTGAAACCACATCCAGACCTTAAGCTGTGACAGAATGAATGAATGAATGAATGAGCCACGTCTCACAAGACAATCCCGGGGGGGGGGGGGGGGGGGGGGGGACTTTCTCTTATACTGCACATTGTTTTAGAAACTGTTTTACAGCACTCGCAACACAAAAGTAGGTCACGTCAGTTTCGAAGATTAGGAGAGGTTACAGAAAGTAACATTCATACAAAGAAAAGAAGGAGGAGAGATAAGGACCATAGATAGATGTTGGACTGGAAAGAAGGAGCAAACCTCAACAGAGCATCTGCCAACCACTGATGTTGCACATTTATATATGTCAAATACCACAATTGTGAAAAAGAACAAAACACCAAATTTCTGGTCTATGTGATGACACAAGCAATGACAATTGCCCTCTTCCTCAAAAAGCACTCGGAGCCACTTGAGCAAACGCACGCCCAAGGTCCACATAACCTTTCAAGGACGATAAATTAAAACAACTACATTTTTGTGGGACACACAACAACAACAACAACAACAACACAGAGGCTCTAGAACATTCTGAATGCTGCCAAAGATCAACAAAAACAAAAAAGAACCCGCATGCAAGGGTGAGGGAAATTAGGTATGCAACAAAACGAGCAGAATTCATCAATAAAAACAATAAATATAATCTAATGCTGTGTTCTTCCAGGGAATTACAGCTGGAGAAAACTGTATGTATACATTGTGGAGTACCAACAAAACTAGCGCTCAGTTAGTCAGTACAATGGCACTCGGGACAGGGAAAGTCACCCCCGACACTTCTTGTTGAGGAGACCGACTTCAAAATTAAATGCACGAGGTGTTTTTAATGCCTCTATCGACACAATTTCCATCATTTAGGAAGCGGGCTTCCGACCAAGCCAGTCCCACCTTTGAGCAACAATTGGCCGCTGTGAAAAGAGACTAAATCATGCTACCAAGTCTTTGACTTTGAACAACTGAGGAAAAATCTTTATCTGGAGATAATGGACTTCATAACTGTCACAGACAAAAATAGCCGAACCAAAACATTTTGTTTATTCCTAAAACACGATTAAAAAAAAAAACTTACAAAAACTTTAAAACCTGGACAGTGACTTCTCCTAAACAGCAACCAACAATAGATCATACGAGCTTCCAAGCTAGGATTAAAAAAAACCCCAGCAAAAAGTGGTACAGTAGCTCAGCTGTAGCGTACATAAAAATGCCACGTCATGGGAAAATGTTCACAAGAGCAGCCGTGACGACCAAGATAAGTCGCCTTATTCCAACAAAATGTACTTTAAAAAAATAATAAAAATGCCACAATAAGCAACATCCAGGGCCGACGTTACCAAAACGTCAGAAAGAAAGAAAAAAAAGAAGAAAGAAGACACAATGAAAGTACACGCGGCGGAAAAAGCAGTCCGTTCAGAGTAACCTGGAGTCATCTTTGAGGAAGTCCCGGTACTTCAGGAAATGCTTGAGTAAATAAGGCAAGGGGAGTCCATCCACAGAGTCGGAGCGCATGGCTTTGCGCACGGCCACTCGGCTCAGCTGTAGGAGACTGGGCAGCGGCTGTGGGGCGCACACAAACTGGGCATCTCCGCTGCGAGTTCTGCAACAAAACCACAAAAAGAAAAACCAAACGTGAGATATTTCCAGCCGTGTGAGAGACGCACAGGAAGACTAACAACACACGTGTACGCAACACATTATTTTGTCACCAGTAGACTAGTGACGTTTAATTTCACTAAACACACACAGTGACAGGGTGCACAAGACTTTGCCGATAGGACGAGATAGAATTCGCTTATTCTGACTTCATTTTTCCTTCTATTAATGAAAAAAAAATGGTACAAAAATTCTTGTAAAGTTCAAAAAGACATTTTAAAAATCTTTTCATTTAATAATCTTTTCAGTGTTCATTCCTCAGTGAGCCTGTGACTTCTCACAGCTGTTTAACATTACAAGTGGCCCTGACAGCAGCATCTCTTTGCTCAGTATATGTAAGTCAGTCTTTTAAGATGACGTTCCTTTCATATCTCTCTTCACTCAGTTTTTAATTATTAAACTTAGACACAAAATGATATTCTTGATAGACTGCAGTGCACTTATAAAATAGAACATCATGTTTCCACTTTCTGACTCACTATATATATATATATCCAGGCCATCAGCTTCTTGTCTTGAAGAAAAGACATTTCTATATTTTATACTTCATTTTGCATATTATACGGTTTAAAAAAACACAAATCTAACATACATATATATAATTTATAATGACTTGATAGCACCGACAGAGACAGCAGACAACAGAGAGTGAGTCCCCCCGAGTTACCTCAGGGGAACCAGAGACAAGGGGAAGACAACATACACTGGTTTCCGCCGTTGCGTTTCGCTGGCACTACTGAAACTTTTCAACTTTCGAGTGCAGCGGCAATGGGGAACGGAACAACCCTGGAACTTGTGAGTGTAGGGGTCTCTCAGACTCCAAGCGAGCCCAGAGTTTAGACTTTGTGTGAGAGTTCAGATCGTGGGCTCTTCCCTCTCTCTCTCTCTTTCAACCTCCCTCCAATCATGTGATAACACTGTGAGAGAAAATCAGCATTACCAATAACATAGCCCGACCCAGCGGGCTGGAACAGCAACTAAGACAAACAAGGAAAACTGCCCTAGTACATAAACGACCTACATGATGACCACTTGGAAATATTATCTGGAGCAATTCTTCTCAACAAATGCAGCACAGAAAAACCAATTGAATAGGTGTATACATACTTAATTGATTAACCACTGAGTAAATATGAGCATTTGAATCAAGCTAAATGTTAGAAAAATACGAAAACAGTACATGATATATATATATAGATGTATATTGTTATATATGGACAGTACAGCAGTTTTTGTTAAGTCATACATTTTTTGCCACTCACATACCTAAAAACATAAATTTACTTCTTGTACTCTCTCTCTCTCTCTCTCTCTCACACACACACACACACACACACACACACACACACACACACACACACACACACACCTATCTCCAGAAAGCACAAAGGGAGATAAAAAAGAGAGGGGAGGGAAGGGAAATCTCCTTTGGGTATATCTTTGAATGAAGTAATACCTCTTTTCAACCACTGCCATATATACCAAAAACTTTACAAAAAATCTCTCTCTCATTCTCTCTCTCTCTCTCTCTCTCTCTGTGTGTGTGCTGCCACCCGCCCCGCCCCCCAAAAAAACCAACAGCCGGAACACATTATTTCGTACTAGTGACAAATAGGCCTGTATCATGCCTGCATGCTCACTCGCACGTACACCC